GGATGCAAGGTATGGGCTTCGCCCTCTCGCCAGCACACGGCCCCCTACTCCCCCCCCCGAAACGGGCCAGAATGTCGTGCCGTCGTCGCGTCTCCAATAGGAAACCCGCCCTCCCGAGCCCCGGTTATAGAAACCACTAACCCGCGGAAGCCAGCGCCATGGACCAAGTTTCTGCGACAGTGACTGAGACCCTGAGATGCTTTTTCTGGAACAACGAGCGGGACGTGAAGGCTCGCTTAGGGCCTTCTGCAAAGGTGGGACATGCGAGCCTTCGAAAGCCTCCTGCAAAACGGATTCATTGAAAGCACCCTGGGATGGAAAGCGCTGCCGCTGCCTGGGGGCAAGAAATTCCTCGGTGCCATCACAATGCGCAATAGCACCCGGGAACTTTGGAATGTACTGGCGCAGTCTTCTGCATAAGGCGACAGTGTGAGGACTTCGGCAGGTTTCGCATGATGTATGAAAATAACAGATGAGCACGCAAAAATGTGACTGTGGACAGTAGTGGACGGGCGCTGGAACGTCATGGCGATGCTCAAACCCGCTTGGCGGAACATGAGGACTCGCTGAGGGCCTTCTGCAAAGGTGGGACATGCAAGCTTTCGACAGCCTCCTACAACATGGATTCATCGCAAGCACCACGGGATGGAAGGCACTGACTGGGGGCACGAAATTCCTCGGTGCCATTACAATATGCAATGGCAACCTGGAGCGTTGGAATGTACTGGCGACGCCTTCTGCATAAGGCAACAACGACGCTTTACTGTATGAGGACCTCTGCATGGAATACTAAGTTCTGCATGATGCAAGAAGACAACAGATGAGCCGCCGGGACATTTGTCGAGTCTGTTTACAGGAGGATATGCATGGGTTGGAATTCAGTGCATGAAGTACGTGGAGAAATGGGAATGTGGTACTGGTCAAGCATTTCGGACATGCAAGAGTGAGAATTTTCTGCATGCACTGCATGAAGCCTGTTTACAAACAATCTGGAGTTCTTATGGCTTTTCGGACTACGAAGTATCTGGGCACACCGTGCATGTTTGGATGGTGGACGTACACCGCTGAATGCCGTTGGCACGGCCAGTGGTGTCTGCATCTCATGGTGGATTCGGGAGCATGGCCCCATTTATGCAGCCTGTGCTGAGACATGCCATGCGTTCAGACTGATGATGCATGTGCATGCTTCAGCGAAGGGCGTGAGAGAAATGGAGCGCTCAGTACAGGTAGCTCTCATGAGGAACGTGACGGAGGGAAGGAGATTGTGTGATGGCCTAGATGTGTTGGGATTTAATTAGAGTGTGAGTTTTTGGGATGTGGTGAATGTGCCAGCCCTTGGCCAATGTGCTGTCGTCGCTGTACTCGGAACCTCGCCAGGCTTGTCCCAGTTGTGAGTGCTGAAACCTAAACCCCTAACCCTAATCCGATGAGCCTTGACTGCCAATGAAGGAAGCAAAGACCATTGATCCCAGAGCCCCAGGGCCTCAAAACCCTAAGGAACCCTACATGCAAAGCCGAAAGAAAAAGATATATCCTACACCTTTAGCCCTTTTTTCATAATCGGGGTAAGTTCTAGAGAGCTCAGGAAAGTGGTTGAGAGCGACAGCAGCTCAGACGAGGTGTCCGGATCAATCACGGCAGTGATTCCAGGGTTGTCAGTGGTCAGGGTTTAGGGGTCGAGGGCTTACAGGGGTTGGTCATGGCTCAGGTTGTTGTTTCCTCTGTGATTTCGTGAAGCATGGAACTGTTTGATGTTGTGTTTAAGGTCTGTTTGTTAGGGTTGGTGAGGCTCCGGTGGGTGGTTTAGGGTTTAGGGCTTTGGGGATCTTTGGTTCGAGTTCAGTCAGGGTTTCGCTTCTTCTTGGGGTTGCACAAGCCCAAATGAAAGAAGGGGTTCAGAAGAAGAAATGAGAGGTGCCTTGGAGTGCTCGGAGTTGGGTGGCCCGCAGGGTCTCAAATTGAGTCGGAGTGCGGAGTTTCGAGTAGAGCATCCCATCATTCTGCTTCGGCCCGCGTGGCGGGCACAAGACCTTAGTCTGTGCACGTGCATAGATCCAACCTGTGTGTGCGAGTTCCTGGTGTTTTGGGTGCATATCTTCGGTGCCTAAGGACGAGAGCTGACTTATTTCTTCGCTGACATCCGTTGGATGACGCCGGCGTCTCCGTAGTTCGTTGGCTGGTAGAAGGAGGTTGCAGGAGGCAGGCGAAGGCAGATGAAGCAGACGAATTGCTGAAGAAATGTATCCATCCGGTAGCTGCGAGCCATCTAATGATCCAGATGTACTGCTGTATTAAACTCAGGCCGTGCGATTTTGGTAAAGATTCGCTTTTCTGTAAGTATCCCTTCTACTCGGCCTAGGCCTGTCAGCTTCTATAGCGCATGCTAGCGGTGTCCCGGATAAAAGTCTAGACGTTGGCTCCTACCACAGGCAGCATCTAAACCATTACGCCAAGGTATTCCGAAGAACGTGCCGCAATCGTTTCAGAGTAGCATGCGAGCAACATACACGCAGTTTTGAAGCACGGGGCACCGGTAGAGAGGATAACCTTGGCCAGTGGGTCTCTGGTCACATCTATGGTTGTTGCAAGACATGTTCTCAGACCGAACATTTTGCAACAGCCAATGTGGCGGTTGATACTTGTTGTGGCTGCTTCCACCCACTGTAATTCAGGCCAATTTGCCAACTGGCAGAACTAATCAGGCACTGCCCTGTCTTGCAAGGTTTCACATGGCCCTTCAGTGTTGAAGCCATCAGTGTACCATAGATTCAGACTCTACGCCCAAAGCAGAAGTATATGCCAGCACCGCAAAGAGGAGGGAGTGTTGGAGCGCAGTGATTTTCCTGTTATGTCAGAACCTTTTCATGGGCAAGTGTGTCGTTGCTCACGATATCCATGCCAAATTTAAGGTGTTGTCCCTCTGCAGTTTCAGCGTACTGTAAGCGCGTGGCTTGTGCCTTACGGCTCCCGGGTTTTTGGACGAGCGGTTTGGGTGCTCACCGAACCTTCATACACAGTGAGCCGGCAGTGGATGCAGTAACCGGAGCACGAAACCCTACTCGGATGGTTTCAAGCCGGCATTCTGTAAACACCGGAAACTTCGCGAGACAATCGCACGGCTTGGACAAGTCAAGATCGCCTGCTCTAGACTGCCTCGCCTGCGGATAGCAGAATGTAGTGACCAACCTGTATTGTGTGCCTGATTTCAACACGTAGGTTCATCTATACAGTTCTATATATATATATATACATGGGCATATATACACACGTGTATGTATGTATGTATGCATGCATGCATGTACCTCAGTAGGCCTCGCTGTGTATAGTCATGATGTTTCCGTAGCCTCTGTGGCAGACCATCCGGCAGTTTTGATGCGCTACACGAGTCAATCTCCGCTTCTGTCAGCGATGCAGTCGGAATCCACCTACTCACCCGGGCTCTCCCTAATGTAAGGTCACTTCTGGTACAGAGTGCAAGAGCATCTCGCCCTACAGCGCCCCGAAGCCAAAATGCTGTCTTACCCGGCCCAACAACTCGCCACTGCTAAACCGCTGCAGGACGGTGAGAGCAAAGCCCCGGAGAAAGCGAAGCCGAGCCAGGGCGATGCCAGTCCTGTCTCAGGCCCTTCACCAAAGTGTAAACCCAGTAGGGACCTTGGAAGCCTCTTTGCTTCGCCACTTCTTCTGCAAGTTCCTTTTGTCAAAGTTCAGGGTTTCAGGGTCCCTCAACCCTAGACCTCCAAACCCGCGCAGATCCCTTTTACCGCTTTTGAAAGGGTTGTCTGGCACACACCGCCTTGACACCCCCCAATACCCGGCAGTCCAAGCCGACATAGGTTTGAGACGGGCCCTTCATGGCTTGTGTTACATGTATTTCAGGAACCCCTAAACCCTAAACCCTAAACCCCAACTTTCATGCAAATCCCGAGCCTCTTGGCCAGGACTTAAGCAGCTCGGGAATGTGGACGAGCTGCGAAAGCAGCTGGAGAAGGAACGCCGCTTGGAGAGAAGCTTCAGGTTTGGAACTCAGGCTTTGGGGAGTTTAGGGTTTAGGAGTTTAGGGTTAAAGGTTTAGGGAAGCTCCAATCAAGCCGGTGTAAAAAGGTATTGGGAAAGGGAGTGGACACGCTCTGGGAGGCACGAATAGTACATGGTTCAAAAGGGTGTGAGGGGAAGTGCTTTGGAAGGTTGTCCAAGTCGGGTTTGGAGTACATGGTAGGCTTGAGGGTCTTTGGATTTGCAGGTCTGAGCATCGAGTGATAATGAAAGTTGAGTTCTTAGGCCTTCAGCCACGCCGAACCTGAAAAGCTCCGGACCTCGTGCGGCAGTCGATCGGTGTGTATGTATGTATGTATGTATGTATGTATGTATGTATGTATGTATATACATATATATACATACACATGTGTGTGTGCACCTGCGTTATGTGCAGATTCATTGATTTATCTATATTGTCTATCTTTGTGTATTTCTACCTGTTCATAATCATTGTTAAAGATGTAGTGCTGCAGTGTGAACTTTCTTCATGACACGCCGGCCCTACATGTCGCGATCTTCAGGGCAGCATGCAAACAATCCAGACTCGGGATTTAATGCTGCTTTAAGGGTCAGGGTCAACACCATGGCAACGTTGATGCATGGAGATTAAAATGATTACAGACGAAGTCATTCCAAATGTTTTGTGGCCCTGGGCCGAACATGCAACTTAGATAAGCGTTGCCGGTGTTGGCCGTTTCCTCTTGTAGATCATGTAGAGGGTCTGGTTTTCGATCATGTATGTCGCGGTCCGCATGAAGCGAACGGAAAGGCCTTGTCAAGAATGCCTAGCCGGGGCATAGCTTGTCCTAGCTTTATATATACGGTTACAGTGTTTCGTACACCTACGAGTAGTGCGAGACAATCAAGATGGCGAATTGAAAGCCATGCAGATGACTCGTATTGCACCACCAGTACATCCCGGACCAAGGAAACCAGCTTCGGCTTTGGATCATCAAGGCCAAGCAGGAGTGGGAGGAGAAGCAGGAGCAAAAGGGTGGCTCGGACAGAAGTGCTGCCGTGTCTTCAGCATCCAGGGAAAGCTTTTGAAGATCTGGGGGTTTGGGTCTAGGGCTAAGAGTTCGTAGAGTTTGGGGCTTATGTGATAAGGTATAGAGTTGAATACGAAACGTAATGTCACACAGAGCTTTTTGTTATTGAGAACGAACCTTGCGAAATTGTTGCAGCTTGTGCTAGAATCTGCCACAACTACAATGCAGACCCCGAAATCCTTAAACTTAATCCCTATTAGACCCTGCAACTCCCATCCCGAAATCAACGCAACAGTGACCTCAAATGCAAGCCGTGGAAGCTTCACCTGCAAAGGGCACCGTGGCGAAACCAACGACCAAGAGCCGTCGCCCTAGCCTGCAGCTTGATCTTCTCGCAGTGCAGAAGGACAGCTGCGGAAGTTGCTTGGGTTGTTTGGGGGTATCGAGGCCGAGCTGTGGCAGCCTCTGCCTCGAGGTACTACATCGCCTCCATCGGCGAGACGCTGGGTCCCAATCGGGACTACCAGGCAGAGGCCAGCATTGGAGCCATGGCAGCCTGAACGGGCGAATCACTGTTAGGGTTCGGGGCTTTGGGGTATGGAGTTGAAGAGCAAGCAGCGTTCCTTATATGAACTCCAAACCGGATATTGAGGCAAAGGATGCCATAACTGATTTGCTCTCCGCCTTACACAGTCGCAATTTGTCTGCAGATGTCCCACCAAAATCAGCCAGTGTTACGAGTGAAGAACACCGGCGAATCTGGCCTCCAAACATGATTTAGGTGTCATGAATACAGGTGTAGTGCAAATCAAAAAGTGATTGCTTATGTCGTTTCAACCCATTCTCCGCCTAACAGCAGTGCAGCCAAGGAAAAGGCGTCTTCTCCAGCGTTTTCCGCTGCAAGCATCTGGGCATAACTTTTCCCGGCCGGCCCCGTGACTTGCCCTGTGCATCTTTTCGTTTATGACCTCGCCCGCCTGTTCTTTTTGAGATTTGACCTCCCATGGCAGAACGGAGAGCCAGTTCCCACGTTCCCTTTGCAATGCCGTTGCGCTGAGTGCTAAGAAATTATCGGCTATCGGTGCCCGGTTATGACGTGGCCAGTCTGAACCCAGAAACAAGCCCCAAATTTTGCACAAGCCTACTTTTACATGTGCTATTTCATCAGCTGCTAAGCAATAAGCTTTCGCGAATGAAGCCTGCGGACACGTATATACATCACATTGTTAGAAGTTTGAACTAAGCTACTATATATATATATATATGTATACATACATATATATATATATATATATGTATAAGTATAAGAAGGAAGCCTTATCACCTAGTGCTGGCTCCCCTCATGGTAGCCCGCATGAAGTTCTGCAGCAAGATCTCCCCCAAAACCCAAGTGAAGCAAGACCTTTCTGCTGAACTCCCAGGCACGTTGGCACGAAGACCGATGTTGCCCTGAAGTTTGTACGGCGTGCTGCCTTCTTTAGTGGTTTTGGGGTTCATGTTTGGGAGTCTAGTCTCATGTGTGAAGGGCTTGGGGCACAACGATTCTCTGTTCGTGGGGGGCGTTTTTGAAAGCTGAAGCCTCGCGGACCTAGGTTAAAGTTTGTGGAGTTGTTTTGCTTTGAGAGTTTGTGTGCCGGATGGTTTGG